AGCGTGAAAACTTTTTAAGAGATGCAGACCAGCTTAAAATAGCCTTGAAGAAGGAGTGGGTGAGGGTAGATAAGTCAGTATTTCAGGTGGTTGTGGACTCAGTACCACGAAGAATTGAGGAAGTGGCTGCTGCAGAGGGTTGTTCATGCAGATATTAAATAATAAAAAAAATTTAATATTTTGTAATGAAAAAATAAAATAAATAAAAATTTTATTTTTATTTTATAAATCAGGTGTTACTTTTGATAGCTACTGTATCTTGCGCAAGGTAAACTAGCATATATTCCACAGATCATATGATCTTGCACAAGATGCAAGGTAACGTCATTCATAGTGGAATTTAAAATCTAGTGAATTCATTGGCTCTAGTATTAACTTTATTCATATAAACAATTTATTGTTGATTTTGCTATAGCAATAATAACTATTAGTGTTAATTTTATTTTATCAATATACAAAATCAGATTGGTTAATACTATCGCTATTATTATTTTTGCTATAATAACAAGAACAAAGGTTAATAATTCTGAAAATACAATATAAAAAACTTAATAAGATTATTTGTATAAGCAATATTCAAGAATCTATTTCAAAACCATATGATTTAAGTAAAATAGACTTTCGCACTTGTTCTATTTTGAATATTATAATAAAAATTTCAAGATAAAATCTAAATTTAATACAAAATTATTTAAGTTAAAATTAAATTTTAAATTAAATACATATTTAAATTTACTTATTATTGGTCTTCTTCGCTTTTACTTTTATCTAATATTTGCTCATCATCAATTTCTTGATACATTTGATTATTATTATTTTCATTTTCTTGACTGTTATCAATTTTGAAATTATTTTTTACAACCATATATGTTTTATAATCAATATTTTGCCATTCATTTGTAATTAATTCAAGATCTTAATTAATATTTTGGTGTGTTAAATATAAACAATAATTTGCATAAATATATACTAGCTTAAAAATATGTTCTGGAGTAAGTTGATTCCTTTTTTGATTATGTATATTTGAAAAAACAGACCAGTTTCTTTCTGATACTGCAGATGAAGTAGGTATATTTAAAACTCAAATTGCCAATTGATATAAATCTTTTGCAATTATATTAAAATTTTCTTTCTACCATATTATTGGAGAAAGCTTTGATGATGAATTTCATATTAAAGAATTATTAAAAAAAAAAACTTTAGCTTTATATTCTGTTAATTGGATCCAAATAAAAGCTAAATTCGCTAGAT